ATATACACATATATATATATATATATATTTTCTGTAAATAAAGGAGGTCTTTATTTGAAATAGGAAGCAGTTACTTTTTCAGATTTCCCATATTTTAGGTTTAGGAGAATTCAGAATAAAGGGTTTCTCATAAGAAAAGTGAAACTAGGAAGATACTCTTTTGACTTTAGGTTCCTGAGAAAAATAATACATACAATTTTAGAGAAGAATTGCTTAAGCGGGATCTAGTACTTATCCCAAATACAATGCTAAAAACACAAAAACCTAATAATAACCCTGAAAAATGGCTCACCACCCAAAGTGCAATAAATGCTTTCAACAATATAAACACAGTGAGCAAAAAGCAGTGAACAAAATATCAAAATCCACAATCAACGACAAATCACAGTGAATCCAGATCAAAAACCTCACATAAAAGCAGATCTTTCTTAGTATAATGAAAGATAGTTCCATACAAAAATGTCCTTAAAAAAATTACTTGCTTGGGGGGGCTTTCAGGCACGGGACTGAGCACTGTCACAAATAGACTAGCAGCAGACACGTTGTTTTGGGGAGTATATCTTACATCGAGCGGTTTGGCATGTTCCCTTAATATGGGTGCATATTTTTTATCTCTTGGTGAGTACATAGGTTGTATTTATTTGTTCATTTAATAAAGGGTATTTTACACTATGAGATCTTTCCTTCACTTTTTCTTCATTGGATGGGTGTGGTGTAATATGTAACAAGAACATCTCTATGCCGATGACACTCAAATCTACCTCTCTACTCCGCAACTCACCCCCTCAGTGTCCTTGCGTGTCACTAATCTACTATCCGACATATTCGTCTGGATGTCACAACACTTCTTAAAACTCAACCTTTCAAAAACTGAGCTCTTGATATTTCCTCCCGCCCGTGCACCTTCCCCCAACTTTTCCCTTGAGATTGTTAACACAACTATCCAGCCCTCCCCACATGCCAAGGTCCTAGGAGTCATCCTTGACTCGGACCTCCGTTTTCTTCCCCACATCCAATCACTATCCAAATCCTGCACCTTCACCTTCGTAACATCACCAAGGAAACCACAAAATTACTTATCCACTCACTTGTTATATCTCGTCTTGACTATTGCAACTCCCTCCTCATTTGCCTACCTCTACACAGGCTATCCCCCCTGCAGTCTATCATGAATGCAGCTGCCAGACTCATTTACCTAGCCAACCGCTCAGTGCCTGCAACCCCCCCTCTGTCAATCCCTGCACTGGCTTCCCATAGCCCAAAGGATAAAATTCAAAATATTAACAACCACTTACAAAGCCATCCACAACCCTGCCCCTGGCTATATCTCAAACCTGGTCTCAAAGTATCACCTTAACCGCCCACTTCGCTCTTCACAAGACCTCCTGCTTTCCAGGTCCCTCATCAACTCCTCCCATGCTCGCCTCCAGGACTTCACTAGAGTCTCTCCCATCCTATGGAACTCTATACCCCAACCTGTCCGTCTATCTCCCACACTGACTGCCTTTAGGCGATCCCTTAAGACTCATCTCTTCAGGGAAGCCTATCCCACCTCAACCTAACCGCTGAACAATCACTTTCTCAAACAATTATCCCCGCACAGTTACCGCCTCATGTATCATTTGCCCCTCCCTTTTAGATTGTAAGCCCTCACGGGCAGGGCCCTCCTTACCATCTTGTCTTGAATTGCATTGTGATTGTTATGTCTTCCTTATATTGTAAAGCACTGCGCAAACTGTTGGCGCTATATAAATCCTGTATAATAATAATAACAAGAAGAACTAGTGCTGGCGAGGAGACCTGGAGTATTTTGTCTTAACTTGGGTTCTGACTCAAGACCTTCATATCTAAGAGGTCACATATTGGCTGGCGAGTGTCTGCCCATAAGGGTTAGGAGTTTTTTTTCACAGAGGATTTTATCTTGGAAGTTCACAAGATCACTTATATTTTGAAGTTGAACAATATAAAGACATTTTTGTATGGCGCTATCGTATACTTATTTATTATTAGGGTTGTTCAGATACCAAATACAGATACTCTAGCAGGTGCCGGCCAATCGGAAACAGTTGGGCGGAGCTAACTGTCACTGCTAGCTCCGCCCAATTGTTTTTTTTCCCATTTAAAAAAAATCTGTATTGATTTTTTAAAAATGTATTATTTATTTAAATTTTTAATAATTTTTTAAAAACTTTTTTCCCCCCCATCTTTTTTCACTATTTGCTATTCTGCTCGGTACCCCAGAGGTACCGAGCAGAATAGCCAAACCGAATGCTGCTTGGCTGCATTTTTCTAATTAGTCACTGGCATTCGGCCCCTATGTGAATAGGTGCGAATGGCAGCAAATGAGCTTTAGTGGTCATAATTCCGTAGCTTATAGTTAAGAGCACTCACTGTAATATAGTTCAATAGGCTGTAAAAAGGCTTATGAATTGATTTAAATCTTAACAAATTCTTCTTTAGCTAAGTTATGGTGCCTCCTTTGTATTTTTTATCTACACTTAACATTCAGTGGTATATTGTATGAAAATAAACACAAATGTTACCACATATCTATATCTCACAAATCTGTTTGATAATTCTGATACTATTCTGAGCCAATATTCAGTAGCTTCAAGCCACACTATGAAAAAACAACACCAAGGAGTTGATTTATGAACCATTTGTGGAACCATTTGCCCTGCAAATCTCTATGAAAGTTCATTCTGTGCAAATTGAGGCAAAAACAATAGATTTTAGTTTTCGTTTTTTCCCCATGTCAATAGTATTGTATTATCACATTCTTGCTACTAGATGGGGCACAGGAAATAAATACTTATTTCCTAATCTCCTCAGCTCAATTTAGTGGTCATAATTCCGTATTCCTTTGTTCTCAACCTGAAAAGAAAATAAACTAAAAATGTTTGTTTTTGTCTCTATTCACACAGAACGAGCATTCATAGAGATTCACAGGATGAATGGGTTTGCAAATTGTTTATAAATAGACCCCCAAGGGTTCATGTATACCTGCATCAGATGAAAAGCAAGTCAAATGCATCATGCTCATGTGTTACTTTATCTTGCTTTTCATTCGCTTCGACATGCTTTTACATACTTCTGGGTTGCGTAAGAGTAGCTTATGAGCTGTGTGATTTTTAGGTGCTTTGAGCTGCTTCTGAGTTGCTTTACACTGCTTTTGCATTGACTTTGACTTGTATGGGGGAGAAAAACAGTTCAGATACAAACCAATATCTATGTATACACGCTTTAAAAGAAGTAGAAAGAAATAGCAGATTACATGGTTTTGTAATTCTGATTACACATGCATTGAGACAATCCAATTCTGGATTTCTAGAAAACTGTTTTAGGGATGGTGAAGTTCATCTTTAAAAATAACTGTGTATATTCTGTTTGATCAAATATATTTAATTATGGCTTATTTCAACAGGTAAGACCATGGAAAATGGCTTCTGCAAAGTTAACAGTAATACCACAGATTCAGCAGCGACTACTTGATCATCGCCTGTCGCATTGCACATTCATTGAAGAAGTTATATGTAAAGTGCCTGGAAGTCTCAGTGAGTATAAAAGCATACAACTCGAGATATAGCTGCAATCTTAATAGTTAAATATACACACATATATATATATATATTTATATATATACATATATATATATA